ATATATATATATATATGTGTGTGTGTGTGTGTGTGTGGATTGGGCGGTGTTTTGCGTGATGGGGCGGTTTTTAACAGATTTTTGGGCTGGAAAACCTCGGCTCTATCTGGCAACACTGCTGTTTATATGTGTTTCAAGGATGTTTACTTACCCAGCAGAGCGGCCACAATGCCAACTAGTCCAGTGCCAGCTCCCAGTTCAATGACCCTCTTCCCCTTTAACTCGATGCTTCCCAGCTCCAGATACAGGCTCATCACCACAGCCTGTGAAGGGAAAGGACTTATAAGTGTTTTATTCTCATTTATGACCGATTTATTGCTACTAATGCCACTTACAGCGTCCCACACCACCGCTGCTACACCGAGCTTCTTCCAGTCCTGCGCGAGACGGAGGTCACGGTCCACAAAGCGGAACTCCGCCGAAGAATTGTGGAATTTGGAAAGAACAGGTAACGAGTCATGCACGTAAGGAACAAGAGCCATGATTCTTCAAAATGAAAGAGAACGTTCTTCTGATGTTCAAGGCCGTTCGCTGATTTTCCTCTTCGTTTCTCGCCTCTTTCTGGGTTAAGACATTTATGTCTTGGATTGTTTTTGTTTTTATTTCGTCCAACTTTCTGCTGTAGTCTTTAAAAATATAGTTTGGTTTAGTATTACAATTTTACAGCAACATAGCGTTGCTTTTCCTACAGCTCCGTGGAGCTTCCGGAGTCTCGACATACCAATAAGTAATTTAAGCCAATCAGATTACAGCTCCAGTGAAATTGACCAATCATAAAGCCCTTGATTGTAACGGGCGGAAGTAGCTGGAAGAGGCGTGGTCCGTTCATGAACTCTGCTGCTGCTGGTGGCATTTCAAAATAAAATCATAATCTTTATCTCCCCTTTGCAAGTCATTCAGAAGGTTATGACATGGAGATGGACAGGATATGATATTTACCTTTGACTGCAGGTTTAGGTTTGTGTTGTAATATGTGCTGTTGAGCTCATGCTGATTTATTTCATGCTGCTGTTTTCATTTGTGCTCGTCTGCTCACACAGACTCATGTTCGTGCTGCTGTTGTTCGATGTAAAGTTTTTGTACTGCTAGTGCTTTGTGTATTCTTCGTTTAGCATATTTCTTAGTTCACATATCTTATTACAGTTTTTCTTTACAATTTATACTTTTTGTTGGATGTAACTGGGACCCTGTGTACACAGTTTTATTCCACCACATGTACCACATGACATGACAATAAAGAAACATTGACCTTGATTTTCAGCTGTCTGTTTGTTAGCTAAATCAATCAATATCTCATAAACCACTGGACAGGGTTTAACAAACCTCAATCAAAATCATCTTTATATATACCTCTACAACTGATTGCCTTTTACAGTCAGCCTGATACAAGATGGCTGCCACAGCTGATCAGACTTATCAAACACAACAGTAGCTATAACTCGGTCAATTCTGCATGAATAAATAGCTCAAATTTGGTGTGGTAGTAGCTGAGACGGATCCCTAGCATATACACTAAGCCAGTACTTCCCAAAGTGGGGTACTCGTATCCCTGGGGGTACGCAAGAGGGACGTAGGGTGTACGCAAGAAAATTTGAAAAAATTAATTAAAACAATGTGAAAAGAACCAGACTACACTCGCACATAAATAGACTGAGGCACCTTCTCACATAACCAAATAAATACCCGTGTAAATGCTAACATCTAGTGTTCCACAAAATCATTGCACTGACAAAGTACTTGCTGAAGGAACACCTGTCATTCAAAGCAATTACTGGCGCCAAAAGGCAAAGGCGAACACTATTATTTTGCCAATGTTTGTGTCTATTGCAAAATATGCTATGAACCACTGGATGAGTTTTGACAAAAGTAATCGTTAGATATACAACTCATTAACTTAGTGTGTCAACCCAATTCAAAATGGCTGCTACAATCAATTGAGCTTTAAAACCGAAAGGGTACAAGTCACTCAATTTTACGAACACTAAGGTAAAATTACTTTAAATTACGTCTTGGTCTTCTGCATTCATACAGCTCCTCCTACATGTGTTGATGTTCGACGTGATGTTTTCATGTTATGAGTGCTTAGTGTATATTTAGTTGATGTTTTTCTTAGTTAATATCTTGGATGTTATTGTTTTTCTTTTACATCTTATTGTTGGATGTAACTGGGACCCTGTGTACATAATTTCGCTCCACCACATGTACCACATGAGGTGCGAATGACAATAAAGAATCTCTGACTCTGACATGTCTCTGCGTGAGTGCAGCTACAGCGTGCACTCTGAGGACATTATTACCTGCAGTGTTCCGTCAGTGAGGACTGAACTTGGCAAAAGGATCTTCTCCTACTCCACTCCTGTTTCCTGGAATATCTTGCAAAAATATCTGAAGCTCTCGACCTTGAACTCTCTAAGTGGCTTTAACAATCTGCTAAGTTCTTGGCAAGAACCAATGCAGACATGTTCCTGTTTTTAGTTTTCTAAACCGCCTTATAATCTAGCTGTTTTTTTCGCTACTTTTCCTTTTAATTACCATTTTATTTTCACTTGTTACAAAAAACCTAATTTTGTACGCATCCTTAATGATTATCTATGGTCATCTTTGTTGTCCACTGTTGTCATCACTCTTTGGTAAAATCAGGTCTCTCTTGTAAATGAGTTCCCGAGACTCAACGGGATTAACCTGCGTGAATAAAGGTTGAATGAATGAATGAAAGTTAGCAAAATATTTTATCATCCACTGGATGGATTTTTTATGAAACTTTATGAAAGTAATCTTAAACTTTTGAAGTTATTTGGTCACATAATTGTTTTAAATATTGTTTTCCTATTCATATATACATATATATATACATACATAAATATACATGTATGTATATA